TGTTTGTGTGTGTATGTGTTTGTATATATGTGTGTGTTTGTATGTGTGTGTTTGTGTGTGTGTGTATATGTGTGTCTGTATGTGTTTGTGTGCGTGTGCGTGTGTGTACAGGGATTAGTAACGACAGTCACCTTGACACCTGGAAGACCAACCACTGAGCATGTCTGTGAGGATGTTTCAGGATTCCTCCTCTGCCCCCTGCCTACAGACACGATGCTTCCACTGACAGGAAGCTCCCACTGCCATGCCTTCCTCACTGTGATGGATGACGGCCTCAAACCGTGAGCCAAAACAAATTTTTCCTTCCTGAAGTTGCTTCAGCTGGGTATTTTGTCAAGCCACAAGGAAAATAACTAGCGGCTGGAGGGGAGAAGGAGACGGCTCAGCAGGTGAAGGCCCTTGCTGCCAATCCTGACGACCTGGGTTTGATTCCCAGGACCCATATGGAGGATGGAGGAAACTGATGTGGATTAGACTCAGGGACCTGACAGGACAAGGTTTTGTCCATGATGAACAATTTCCTAGCCGTGGGGAAGAGTGCCATCATCCTGGTGGAGCCTTCTGGGAGATCTTCGAGAGATCCAACTGTTGCCCTCCTACCTCACATCTCCCAGGCCTGCAGCAGGGACCCTGGGTCCCTGGGTTTCACCTTTGCCCAGTGCTGTGTTCATTAAACACAGTGGATGGGCAGCTGACACATTTAAAGTGTGTAGCAGCACTGGCATGTGACATGTCTGTGCTCCTCAGTCATGTGACTCAGGACTGGTCCATCTTTCTGGCCAGGCACTCCAACGCCAGCCACTTTAAAGCATCATCAACTTCAATTTAGACAGACTAGGGACTGAGAGGCCCCGGAGGGTGGGTGAGGATGTGAACAGAACCCAGCCTCCTGACTGCTCATCAGGGAGCCTCCTACCAAAACGGTTCATCTCTCATGACCGAGAGAGGGGACCCCGTGAGTGACTGTTCACATCACCCCATCTGAAGAAGGAGGAAGTCATCTGTGCCTGCTGCAGGCCATGGAACAGAGTGGAGAATGATGCACATTGTCCCAGATAACCCAGGATAGGCTGCTGTAACATGAGGGCCGGCTTGTTGGGGTTTCTGTCCCACCCGGTACCCCACAGCTGGCAAGCAACAAAGAAAATCACACACAAGACTCCATAAGGTTATAAACTGATTGGCCCATTAGGTCAGGCTACTTATTAGTCCTTGTAACTTATATTAATCCATTATCATTATCTATGTTAGCCACACGGCTCAGTACCTTTCTCAGTGTGACATATTGCCTCTTCAGTGGTCTGCACAGGAGTGGAGAGGGAGCTTCCTGCTTTCCAGAATACTCCCAGTCTCTTTGCTCCACCTCTACTTCCTGTCTGGCTTTCCCGCCTATACTGCCTGCCTGGCCAATCAGCGTTTTATTAAAATATGATTGACAGAATACAGACAATTCTCCCGCATCAGGCTGCAACAGGATGTCCTTGAATGATCTACAGTAGACATCCAGAGTAGAAACCTTCTGTGCAAGAACTTCCTCCTCGTTCCTGTCACCTGTCACCTGCCACCGTGGCCTCTATGAGCAAGGCAGTCTTGCCTCTTAAATAGAAAAGCAGGAGCAGATCCTGTGATAAAACCTGGGGTGGCCAGAATTCCGAGTGATCTTTCTTTAATAAATTCTGTACCACACTGTGGCTCTATAAAGATGGAGAACACACAGGCATTTCCTTTGAGGAAGGAAAATGACTTTAAACAACAACTACACACGTTATCTAAAGGCCTGAGGTGAGTAGAGATGAGGAGCTGTTTCCTTCTGCTGAGAAGTTAGAGTATCCTATGTGAGACAGCTGGAGAATAGCCAAGCAGCCCTGATAGATTGTGAGGACTCTGAGAAAAGCTGGTAGTAGGAGGAGCCATTCATTCTCTCATTCATTCATTCATTTACTCAATCAATGTTTACCACGTTCCCAGGGCCCTTCATTCACTCATGAAATCACCAACTATTCTATAAATCAACATTACAGGCGATGCATGAAGTGTAGCACTAATAAGGGCCTCGTGATATCATATCAGTTCTTGGGATAAGCTTGGGGTGGGAGAGGCAGGCTCACCCCTACTCACTGATGTGGAATCTGAGTGTTCAAACCTGACAGCACATCACGATGTTTGGTACATCACGATGTTGTCATCAGAAGAGTCTACGTTGGAGCAGTGTGCAATCAAGTTACAAGGGGGAAGAAAGCTAAAGTAAAGATTCCATTGTGTTTGGGAAAGATGGGCTGCATTTGTCCATCCACTGGGGGTTAAGCAACTTGTCTAAGGTTCCCTGTGACCTCAGGCAGCACCTGGGCTTCTCTTTTTGTTTGTTTGTTTTGAGACAGAGCCTCACCACTATACAGGCCAAGATGACCTCGAACTCACAGAGATCTTCCTGCCTCTGCCTCCTGAGTGCTGGGATTAAATGTGTGCACCACCATGCCTGACCCGGCTTGCACCTCTTAGTCTGTTATTTTTTTTTAAGTTTTCAATTCTCCACTGCCTGCCCAGCTTTGAACTTGGTCTCTGTGAACTGTGTTTTCCCTGCTGGAATCAGACCGTCCTTAAGAGTGGAAGGTTCTGCCTAGCCCCTCTCTAAATCTGCTCCTGGTCCTAAGCAGAGCAAGCTCTGAGTCACGGTGTGCTCCGAATTCAAGATCACCTGAGCCATGTTCTGACACAGCTTGTCTACTGGATTCCCAGAAGTCTGACCGAATCCTGTTCCACACCTCCCACTGCCTGCAAGTCTCTACCAGGACAGACACTGGGTACCCCAGACACTTCAAGGATCTTGAGTTGTTTACAATGGCAGTCATACTCTGCCTACAGGGTGGCAAAAACTTACCTGGGCTGTTTTCACTTTCAAGGGATAGCAGGCCATGGTCTAGAAACCCCAACATGGGGAACCCTGGTAGGGAGGACTGAGGCCAATTTCGAGTAGAGTATCTGGATTGGTTGCCCCAGGAACATGCTTGGCAAATCAAGGTCTATGACTGACACAATGAACCCTGGTCTATGGATGAGGAGCCTCTGGCTGTAGTTTGCTAGAGGGTCACAGCTGGTAAAGGATCCCTAAACCTAGTTCAGAACAGCTCAGAATTGGCAGAGCTCTGGGGGATAGCAGGAGGCTTTAGAAAATCTGACAATTGCTCAACATCAGCACATTCGGTCTCCAGTGAGCCAGCACAGAGCTCTCCTTAGCTGGGCACTTTGGAATCTCATGCATTAGCAGCTGAAAACTGGCCACGATAGGAGTTCACGCTATAGAAATCAG